TATATATATATATATATATATATATATATATATATATATATATACATATATACATGTATATACATATATATATATATGTATATGTTGATATATACACACACATATATATATAGATATATATACATAAAAATATATGTATATATATACATATATATATATATATATGTCTACATATCTATATATATATAGACATATGTGTATATATATATATATATCTACATATCTATATATATATATACATATATACATATATATATATATGTATATGTTTGCATTACGAAGGAATTGTCGCTGCGGATTTGTGGGGAAATCTCCGCCTCTTTTCTGTCAACGAACCCAAAGAAGTGTCCCCTCCTATTCTCGATCAGCTTCAGGTAACTCACTCACTTGCTGCTGCTGCTGCTGCTGCTTCTGCTGCTGCTGCTGCTGCTGCTTCTGCTGCTGCTGCTGCTGCTTCTGCTGCTTCTGCTGCAGTTGGTGTTTTAGCGGTGTTGAGTGCAGTATAGATGGTTTTCTACATAGACAGCTCCTCCGTGGAGCGCAGCAACAGCTACCGCTGCTGCTGCTTCTGCTGCTGCTGCTGCTGCTGCTGCTGCTGCTGCTGTGAGGTGTACGGTCAGGTGGTTGTTGTTCTGCGTTTAGGTGCTGCGGTGTGACTCGGAGTCGATGGAGGCGAACGCAGCGATAATTGCCTTTAAGCAGCTGCAGACAGAAAAGGGAGACGTCGCCTGCGTAAGCTGCCCCACTCCTGCTGCTGCTGCTGTTGCTGCTGCTTATACTGCTGCTGCTGCTGCTGTTGCTGTTGCTTATTTCGGGGGATGAGGTGCTGCTGCGCTGCAGGCAGCGTGGACAGCGGAGGGAGGACTTCTTTCTATTCGTTTGCTGGATAAGAAGTCATCTGAGTTGCTGCTAGAGCTTCAGGTGTGTCTCTGTCTCCTTTTGTCTCCTTCTGTCTCCTTTTGTCTCCTTCTGTCTCCTTTTGTGTCTCCTTCTGTCTCCTTGTGTCTCTTCCTGTTTCTTCTAGGTTCTGTCTGTATCTTTATGTCTCCTTTACTTGCTGGTTTTGGCTGTCTCCTCCCCGATGTGTTGCTTCTCCTGCTGCAGCTGCTGCTCCCACCGTTGCTGCTGCTGCTTATGCTGCTGCTGCTGCTAAGGTGCTGTTTTGCTGCTGCTGTGTCTCTGTTTAGGGCTGGGTGGAGACCTCTCTGCCTTCAGAATGCGGTGTCACTGCAACAGCAGCAAGAGTCCCTGCTGGGGCCCCTTCGCTGCATCTGCAGCTGTGGGTAGCAGAGCAGCAGCAGCTGCTGCAGCAGCACTTACAGCAGCAGCAGCAGCAGAACCTCCAGCAGTTGCTGCTGCAGCAGTGTCGCACGCAGGACGATGTCTCTCCCTCTGGAGCGTCGGCTAGAGCAGCAGCAGCAACCACAGCAGCAGCTGAAGCAACCGCTGCAGCAGCTGCTGCTAGAGAGGCAGCAGCAGATGCAAGTTTGCTGCTGCAGCAGCAGGAGTGGAAGGCTCTTGCTGCGCTGCGTTCTCGCTTGCTGCTGTGGGCTCCGCTGCTGCGGTGTCTCTGCTTCTTATCAGTGCCTGTGCAGCAGAAGCTGCTGTCGGGGGCCCCCCCTTCTCTTTTGTCTCTGCTGCAGCGCGAGTTCCAGGGGTCTGAGGGTGTCTCCTTTTGTTGGGTGAGTCTTCCCTTGCAGCCTTAAGGGTTAGCTTACTTCAGTCTCTTTAAAGGAGACTGTGTGTCTCCTTTAAAGAGACTGTCTCCTTTAAAGGAAGCTGTCTCTTCATAGGTAGCTCTATGGAGACTGTCTCCTTAAAGGAGACAGTGTCTCCACAGAGGAGACTGTCTCTTTCAATGCACAATCTGTCTCTAAAGGGGCCTGTCTCTTTTAAGGCGACAGCACTGCTGTCTGCTGTCTCCTCAAAGGAGACACCCCTGCTGACCCCTGTCTCCTTTAAGGAGACAGCTAGCTCTGCTGTCTGCTGTCTCCTTAAAGGAGACAGCACTGTTGTTTGTTTGTTTGTTTGTTTGTCTTGCAGGCGACGCTGCGAGAGAAGTTAGCCAAAGACTTCTTAACAGGCCTCAACCTCCCAGCTGTGCCTCGGCTTTAATGTTGTTTGTGCTGTCTCCTTTGTCTCTCTCTTCTGTCTCCTTTGTCTCTCTTCTGTCTCATTTGTCTCTCTGCCTGTGTCTCTTTTGTCTCCTTTGTCGCTTTGCTGTCTCCTTTGTCTCTCTTCTGTCTCCTTTGTCTCTCTTCTGTCTCCTTTGTCTCTCTGCTCTTGTCCTTGATAGAGACATGCTGCTGTCTCCTAGACAGCAGCAAATATATATGATATATAATTTATAATATATAATGTAAATGACATAGTATATTATATATTATATATATTAGGAGACGCCTTGTGGTGTCTCTAAACAAACCCTTCTTTCTTTCAATGTCTTTGCATGTACTGTTGCTGCGTCTTCTGCACACTGTGTCGAGAAGTACCTTGGCTATAGATAGCTTATATATATATATATATATATATATATATATATATATATATGTAGACGTATGTATATATATATATTTTATATA